TGCCCTCAATCTTTCCCAACATCAGGGTCTTTTCCAGGGAGTCTCCTCTTCTCATGAGGTGGCCAAAGTATTGGAGCCTCAGCTTCACGATCTGTCCTTCCAGTGAGCACTCAGGGCTGATTTCCTTAAGAATGGATGTGTTTGATCTTCTTGCAGTCCATGGGATTCTCAAGAGTCTCCTCCAGCACCACAGTTCAAAAGCATCAATTCTTCGGCGATCAGCCTTCTTTATGGTCCAGCTCTCACTTCCATACATCACTACTGGGAAAACCATGGCTTTTACTTTACGGACCTTTGTTGGCAAGGTGATGTCTCTGCTCTCCTCTCCATACACTGCAATAATACTCACTTTGCTCCTACAAAATATTGCTGATTATTTTAGCTCTGGTTTCATTTCATTAGTGCAAGGACTTTCATCTGTGCAATGGAACTTCTTCTTCCCATGCAGTCCCAAATCTTTTCTGTGGGTTTTCCCAAGTCTCTGGAGCAGATCTGGACAGGATATAGAGAGCCTTTGGGGAGATAAAGTACCATTGCACAAGTGGAAGTCCTTGTGCCAACGGGATAACTGGATGCAACCCTACAATTGCACTGACACAACTTGCTTAAGATATTCTCTTCATAGACTCTAATGTAGATTTCAGCCTTCAAAGACATGATTCAGCATGGCTTCATTCCAATACTTCTGCCTTTGTGTATACCAAATGTCCTGCTGATTTAAGGAAGGCTGGGAAGGAACTTTTCCCTGTGGAGACATTGAACAAGTGATCTAACAGATAAGAGACAAACTGGCTAAGAAGAACAGGGATTTGAAACCCTAAAGCATGCCACGAGTCAAAGAGGAGATAATAATTAATCCAATTTAAGGGAACAGCAGAGAGGTCAAAGCAGGCAAGAACAGAGTAGATTTGGTAGTGAAGAAATCACCTCTGAGTTTGGCAGTTGGGTGTTTGGTTAGAATAAATGACATCAGCTAGACCATGGACTTGGAAGGGAGAAAGCCGAGACAGCAGGACTGAACAGCATGCTCCATGAGTCTTAAGGAGAAACTAAGAGGCAAGATAGGTTGGCAAAGAAGGATGTTTTGAGAATGAGGGAGGACGTGTCATATTTGAACCAGAAAGGATGGCTATGCTGATAATGTGGCAGTGTAGGTGGATATAATAGGGATGGGGAAGTGGGCAACCAAAAGTCAGAAGGCATCTGGAGAGGGTCAATGTGGAGAGTAGAGTGGCTGTCTCATTGAAGGGGAAAGAGGGCAGGCATGAGGAAGTTTGGAGGAGGGATGTTGAAAAGGGGGATATAGTGGAAAGTTAGCGAGATTTTGGTGCATAGTTCCAACATTATCACTGAAGTAGGAAGCATAGGGCTGAATCGAATGAAGAACTCTTGCAGATGCAATGGAACTTCTTTCCAACCTCTTTCCCCTGCACACCACCTACACCTCTTCCCCCCCAACACACATCTACCCCAGAGGTGGATTCCTAAAGCAGCTTTCTTTTTGGGAGGGGAGTAAACAGAAGTTGTGCTGCTTCTGCGATGACCATTGATTACAACCCACTGAATTTCATTTCTTTCTGGAACTGTACCATGAAATCCAAAAGTATGGCATGATGAAGAATCCAAGCAAAAGATGCTGGTTTGGGTGGAGAAAAACAGGAGTGTTGTGATTAACGAAGTATCATTGGAAAATAATATCTGTACACAGCTGGGCATTTTCTATGTATCAAACTACATTCTGTGAAAGGATCAACAAGGGTTGTAAGCTTAATTATGTTTTCTTTGTTTCTTGCTGCAGCATAATCCACCAAGATTTTGAGATTCAGTCTTAATTGCCTGTAAAATCACGAGTGTAATGATTGCACCCAGAATAAAAGCATATAATCCGAGTAGAATCATGGCAGCCTACATCTGGAAAGAACTCCAAAGTTAATCTTCTTTCTTTGCAATGCAACAAGATTTTCTATACTTAGACTACAGTAATGGACCCTTAAAATCTCCGAGACATAATGAACTTTAGGAAACCATTTTTAACAGATTTACTGCTCAATATATTATCATTAAAAAACAACAACAACCAAGAGACAAAACCTTAAAGATAAAGATCGTAAATGAATGCTGAATAGATTAAGGGATTTTTCTAACACGTGTTGATTTTCTCTGTATAATAGATGCTAAACTTTGCAGGGGATGGATATCATTCTTGCTCGGAATGCTTGAGGGTCAAAGTAAAATATCCAATGTTCTTACCAGTTACAGAAAATGCAATATCCAAAACTCCTAGATTTTCTTATAACTGGCATTTAGATTCCCCTGAAAATGTACTATTTCACAACTGCGCTTTTCAATTTTTTTAAAAAAATCTCTCATACTAAAGCAAGATAGTAGTTTTATTTACACCTACAGTGCTACCTCGCAAGACGAAAAACTCGCAAGACGAAAAACTCGCAAGATGAAACAGTTTTTCATTTTTTGAGTTGCTTCACAAGACGAATTTCCCTATGGGCTTGCTTCGCAAGACGAAAACGTCTTGCAAGTTTGTTTCCTTTTTCTTAAAACCGTTAATACCCAGGGTGCATTGCTTCGCAAGACGAAAAATTCGCAAGATGAAAAAACTCGCAGAACGAATTAATTTCGTCTTGCGAGGCACCACTGTAATTCAGAGCAGTAGTGGGGACACATGATATTTCAAGAGACTATAACAGCTTCAAGTGTTCTAAAATGGACTATTCTTTTATAATTATTAATGTTTTCCAATATTTGAGAAGGACTCTGATGTTATGCCCACCTGCAGGAATTTCTGGATTTGACTTAGCATTTGATGAAATGCTAAGAACATAAGAAGAGCCTGCTGGATCAGGCCAGTGGCACATCTAGTCCAGCTTCCTATTCTACAGTGGCCAGCCAAATGCCCATGGGAAGCTCACAAGCCAGACCTGAGCACAACAGCAGTCTTCACAACTATGATCCCCAGCAGCTGGTATTCAGAGGCATACTGCCTCAGACAGTGGACGCAGAACATAGCCATCAGGATTAGCAGCCACTGAAAGCCTTATCCTCCATGAATTTGTTTAATCCTGTTTCAAAGCCATGCTGATTGGTGGCCATCACTGCCTGTTATGGAAGTGAATTCCATAATTTAGCTACACATTATGTGAAGAAGTACTTTCTTTTCTCCTGAATCTTTCAACATTCAGCTTCATTGACTATCCATGCCTTATGAGAGTGGGACAAAAACTTCCCTCTTATCTGCTTTCTCCATACCTTTAAGAATCATGACCACGTGCTAAGGAACCTTGAAGAGGGAGTTCTGTGTTGTGTGTATCTTGTCAGCCTGTTCAACCTGTTAGCCATCCATATGAATGCAGACCCGCCACCCTCTATTCTGTAGCAGCAGAACCACTCTGCTGTTTGTACTCAGTGTATTTACCCTGCCTCCAAACTATGAATTGCTCTTTTCATTCATAATTACTCCAAAAGAACTCTCTCATTCAGACAAGCCTTGTAGCCATCTAACTGATCTGTAGGAAAGCGATCCCCTCCAAAGTGGGGAAGCACAGATATGTAGCCCAACCCAGCCCTCAGGTGGCTTGCATTAACATTATTGCTCATGTTGCCTCGGAACCAAAATAGCTATAAAGCTCCAAGTGAAAAGCCCGCTCAGATTCAATATGGTGCTGTTTGTGTTTAGATGGTTCATTCAGTTTCCTGCACAGAAGCAATAGTTCTTCTTTACAGTGACACCAATGGAAGCCATTAGCAATGTACCAGTGCTGTCAGTGTTTCAGAGGGATTTGTGGAGCCAGGGAAAGAGAAAAATGAGAAGGCAGTATACTTAATTTATTGCCTTCATTGGCTTTTGCCTGCTTCAGTGTAAGAGCACTCGGAAGGCACGTTGCTGTTAATAGTGCGGGGAGGAGGTTTGGAATCCATGTAACAATACCAAATCAGTGTCATTACTGAAGTGCAATAACTTCTTCAAGCATTGGGGAGGGGGAAGAAGGGGGATTGTTACTGGCCTAGCCAATCAACGCTGTCTGCAGCTTCTGCTACCTTTTTAGCTCTGGAGCTCAACACTGGGGGGGAAGATCTATGTGAATGTGTTGAGTGTTTTTCTCACCACTCTATAAATTCCATCTGTCTTCACCTGAGCTGGGTAACAGTTAGATCAAGCTATACTGGGGTGGAGGAGGGAGGTCAGGCTGCACATGATCCCCATATAAGATTTTACTACCTAGGGATGCAGTAAAACATCTCATAAACGTGTCTATGATTATGAAACAGAACTTCACATCAGTGTAATGCTAGTGGAGCTTTATCCATTGTCTTGTTTCTCTGTACAACAGACTAGAGCACTGCATGTTATGATAACTGCAAGATTCGTGGATGGCAACTATTAGTACTTTGGGCAACTGAAATTTAACCAAGAGTAGACTTGCAGTGGCCTTCAACATAAAAACAAAGCAAGCCAGTTTAGGGAGAGCAATTTCCTTCTCCCAATAAAGGTTTCTCTGGAGTTGCTCATATGGTGGCAGATGCCAGTTGTGTATGACAGAGTCTTGAAGAATTGGAGGGAGGCGAGGTTCTAATAATGGGGAGGGGTCTTGCATATGGCAGAGGAACTGTTGACAGATGGATGACATTCCCTAGTCATGCTTACTTCTGGGGGTGGTTATTGATTCTTTAGACCTACGCATCACTTCCTCTCATAGAAAACTTAGGCGCTTTTGTTTTACACTTTTTTTTTTATTGGAATTTTGCAACACAGAAACAATGATGACATGGATAGCAACTGGTCATCAGGAACATAAGAAGAGGCTGCTGAACCAAGGCAATAGCCCAACATCTGGTTCTCACAGTGGCCAACCAGATGCCTGTGGGAAACCCATGAGCAGGATCCAAGCGCAAGAGCACTCTCCCTTTCTGCGGACTCCAGAAACATATTCAGAAGCATTGCTGCCTCAAACTGTGAGGAACAGCACGGCTATCTTGGCTAGTGGCCATCGATAGCCCACTTCTCTATGATAGCAGGTAATGGGTTACACCAAAACATGTCAGTAGAGCATGAGACTCTTAATCTCAGGGTTGTGGGTTTGAGCCCCACATTGGGTGAAAGATTCCTGCATTGAAGGGGGTTGGACTAGATGATCCTTGTGGTCCCTTCCAACTCTACAATTCTATTCTATTTCTATTATGTGTGACATGTGTATAGAAGTACTGAATGCAATAAAACGGTATAAAGTAGTGTAAACAAATATGAAAGAAAATTGATATGTAAAGAACATTACATACAGTTGTAAACATAATTATGCCAAGCCAATCATGTGGTTTAGAATCATAATAAAATAGGGTATTTAATGGGTGGGGGGATGCAAATAAACAAGTATTTCACAAGTAAAGGTATGTTGTACAATCAAATAGAATGGGATAGGAATATACAGGATATTTAGCCTACGGTTATCTTTCCATAAAGAGCCATGTGCCAACAAAATGGAAGTAAAATGAGGTTACTGTATTTTTCGCACCATAGGACGCACCGGCCCATAGGACGCATCAAGTTTTTTTGGGGGAAAATAAACAAAAAAAAATTATTTCCCCCCCAGGCGCTTGTGGGGCCGGCAGCGGGGAGAAGCGCTCTTCTCCCCGCCGCCCGCCTTCAGATCAGGTCCGGGGACAGCAGGAAGACGCGCTGCGTCTCCCAGCTGTCCCCGGAGCTTGGGGGCAGGCAGCGGGGAGAAGCGCTCTTCTCCCTGCCGCCCGCCTTGAGATCAAGTCCGGGGACAGCGGGAAGACGCGCTGCGCCTCCCCGCTGTCCCCGGAGCTTGAGGGCAGGCAGCGGCGAGAAGCGCTCTTCTCCCTGCTGCCCGCCTTGAGATCAGGTCCGGGGCCACCGGGACGACGCGCGGCGCCTCCCCGCGGTCCCCGGAGCGTGTGGGGCCGGCCGCGGGGAGAAGCGCTCTTCTCCCTGCCGCCCGCCTTGAGATCAGGTCCGGGGACAGCGGGAAGACGCGCTGCGTCTCCCAGCTGTCCCCGGAGCTTGGGGGCAGGCAGCGGGGAGAAGCGCTCTTCTCCCTGCCGCCCGCCTTGAGATCAGGTCCGGGGACAGCGGGGAGACACGCTGCGTCTCCCAGCTGTCCCCGGAGCTTGGGGGCAGGGAGCGGGGAGAAGCGCTCTTCTCCCCACCGCCCGCCTTGAGATCAGGTCCAGGGACAGCAGGAAGCCGCGCTGCGTCTCCCAGCTGTCCCCGGAGCTTGCGGGGCTGGCGGCGGGGTCTCCCCGCCGTCAGCCTCCAAACCACTTCGGGAGACAGCGGGATTTCGGCGTTCCGCCTCCCTCTGTCCCCCAACCTTGTGGGGCTGGCGCTGGGGCTCTCCTGAAGCCTGGAGAGCGAGAGGGTCGGTGCGCACCGACCCCTCTCGCTCTCCAGGCTTCAGTGAAAGCCTGCATTCGCACCATAGGACGCACACACATTTCCCCTTCATTTTTGGAGGGGAAAAAGTGCGTCCTATAGTGCGAAAAATACGGTACTAAGAAGCAAGAGGGAAGTATGAATATGCTTGGGGAATCCTAAGATTTGCAGAAATAGGTTTAAAACAAACAAACAAACAAACAAACAAACAAACAAACCCCAAAACCTAATGGAAAACCACCACCACCAAAACAAACTCTTCTTATATTCTTATATAGGGGAAGTGACCACCCCATTTTGTCTTCATAACAATCCCAATAAATATATGAAGCTCCAGGAAAGTGAAAGGTCCAAGGTCACCCAGTGAGCTTCATAGCTGAGCAGGGATTTAAACCAAGGTTTTTTCCCCAATTCAAATATGAAACTCTATAAATTATGCTGCACTGTATACCTTTGGGCAAAGAAACATGAAGCTAGTAAAAGTTCTGACATATTAAAAGTGTTATTTATACAATAAAAACGATAACCTGAAGGCAATTTACCTGTGATACAACAGCCTTGTTAAAATCTTTGTGTGTGATTTTGGCTGAACACTATAATCTATTCTCCCCCTGCCACTCATATATAACTTTACTTCACCTCATGCCATATTTCATACACAATAAATGACAAGTAGCACAATAACCCACGACTATATAAATTATATTTGGTTGAAATGAAGAATATGAGCTCTTGTCTGCTGCTCTGAAGCTGTGATTTTAGTAGCTGCTTAGTTGTTAATTCAAGGGAACATGTTGCTTTCGAGCATATTAATCTTATTGTTCATATATCAAAGAGCAAGATGCTACACAGAAATCTAAAATACTCTCCTTGCATGAATTTAAAGCATTTCTCTGGCAAATGATATACATCTATCACCTCACCATTCTTTTGATTCTAATAGCTGGAATCGAAGTTGCAAGACCTGAGAAGGGACTTTCCTCTCCTACAGTTTCCAGAAACTAGAACCCAGAAGCATAGTTCCTCCAACAATAGTGAAACCTAGCAATGCCCCTTTCAGGCTTCCAATAGGCCTCTGGTTGGCAACTGTGAGAACCGGATGCTGGAACAGGTATTTGGCCTGATCCACCAAGGCTCTTGTGTTTAACTGAGACTCTTGATGGCATCTTCAAGTGACAGTTTTCTAGATATCTAGAACATATAGAGAATTCATGCAGGATATTCTTTAGCTGCGGTGAACGTGGTTAGGTTTGTGATTTGAATCAACATATGAAGTTTCAGAAAGATGTTGGATTTCTGAAGTGAATACACTTTCCATCAATATGCTCCTCATTTTTAACAGTAGCTACTCACTGCAAGCTACAGTTCCCACAATGCTCTTTCCTTCCCTTTCTCAGAGAATATAACAGCAAGAGCTTGAGACCATATTTCTGTTCCTCCAGTTCGCACACTAAACAAACTAAAAATCTCATTAATCTTTCTCACCAGAGTGGACTAAGACATCTCAGGACAACTGAATTGAAAACGGGGAGAGGGGAATTGGACACAGCAAATAAACTTTAAAATTAGCAGTCATTTTGGAAAATACAGTAAGGAGGTGAAAATATTGATGGCAGTTTCCCTCCCTAAATGCTATTTTCCCTCTGTGTTTTCAGTACCGTGCCCAAATCAATGTATGGAACTTTGAAAGCTGATTCATATGTCACCATATGACAGCTATGTAGGTAACTGAACAATTCAGGTGCCAAGTGAGCATTGCACATAACATTGCTGTTTTGCCACACTGCATCATCCACAATTAGAGTTTACTCATCCTGTGCAGCACAATGAGAAAATGCCATTAAATGTTCCCCCTGTCAAGGTAAACGAGACACGGTGCATGAATTTCCCACATAACCTTTTTAAAAAATCTTGCTACATTTACAGAAAAAATATTTGCTCATCGAGTCACAGGCACTATTTTGTTTGCTCAAAATAGGGTGGATTTGATTTATTCATATTTCTTTATTCATATAGGCCTTGTGGCCTATTCCATTCAAACAAAAGATCACGCTGAAGACATGTTTGCCACCATTGCTTTATGGTAATGTGCTGGGAAGCAGCTTTGTTGAATAGCCTCACTTAGTGTTGTTTTCCTTTCACATCCGTCAGTGTTTAAGCTAATGGCACAAATCAATAGCACAATTAAAGCATCAATTTGCTGGTGACCCATCGAGAAATAGGAATGACAAAGCTTGAGAGAATAAACTTTCTTCTTTTTCTTCTGGGAGAAAATAATCGTCAGCACCGAAGAAAGGAAGAAATGCCGAGTGCTTTGCTATATCTCTGTCATGAGGGAGGTGGGCTTGAGAAGAACCTAAGAAGATGTCTGCTGGATCAGGCCAATCTTCTATCTATTTCAGCATCCTGTTTGCCCCAGTGGTCTATCAAACTCGTTTGAGAAGCTCACAAGCAGGACATTGTGGGCATCCCTTCTCCTGTTGGCATGTGGTGAAATACTGCATATGAACTTGGAGGAAGCATATATTTATCATCACTAGAAGCCAGTGTTTGATTTAGCCCCCATCAATGTGTCTAAAGGAAAGGTAAAGGGACCCCTGACCATTAGGTCCAGTTGTGGCCGACTCTGGGGTTACGGCGCTCATCTCGCTTTATTGGCCAAGAGAGCCGGCGTACAGCTTCCGGGTCATGTGGCCAGCATGACTAAGCTGCTTCTGGCAAACCAGAGCAGTGCATGGAAACGCCATTTACCTTCCCATCGGAGTGGTACCTATTTATCTACTTGCACTTCGTGCTTTCGAACTGCTAGGTTGGCAGGAGCTGGGACCGAACAATGGGAGCTCACCCTGTTGCGGGGATTCGAACCACCGAACCTTCTGACTGGCAAGTCCTAGGTTCTGTGGTTTAGCCCACAGTGCCACCCGTGTCCCATCGATGTGTCTAATCCTCCCTTAATACTATCTAGAGTAGACAAGGAAAGAGTCTTTTGAGAGCATTGCTGGGTTCTTATGATGAAGACTAACTGCATTGTTTTCCATGGCTGGCAAACAAAGATCTTCATGAGCTATTTATAAATGGCTTCCAGACTGAGCTTATTTGGACTAGAAACCAGCCCAGTTCAGGCATTCACCTGGATGCATGTGGGATGAAAGTGGGTAGGGCACAGGGTAGGACACATGCTGGCTGCATGCTAGATGTTGGGAGGAAAATCCTGGGTACCCTGACTTAACAGGATGGGTTTCCACATGTGAACAGGAACTTAAGGGACTTTTGCCCAAATGTCCATAGAATACACTTTCAGACTTTCTTCTGAATGTGGTCTTCCAGTTCTCTATGTAGCCCTGGAGACTCTTTCTGGTCCTCACCCCTCACTGGCCCTTGTTCACACCTGGAATGGTGTTTGCCTGGCTAGAATGTCTTCTTGACCTCTGATGATGCCCCTTGCTCACCTGGATAGAAAACAGAGATATATGTCAGTAGAAACTAACCTTCTGTTAAATGGTAAAACGTACAACGATTGTTTCACCCACTTCTGCTTCTGGCCCCATTTACTACTGGCATGTAGCTTCTGTAAAGTTTTCTGTAAGTGAAGGCAGCCCCCAGGCTTAAAGAAGTTCCTGCAATATGAGAAGGTCTAAAATAAAAGCAGAATACACTGGGGTGTTGGGGGCAGGATTTGTCGGCATGTAAATGAGTTAATTGTTT